CGGGAAGGCTGAATTTGAATTTGCGGAATTGTATGTGGGCAGAGCACACTACGGCGAAATTTCAGCCTCCCGGCTTCTGTGGTTCCGGAAGTAATAATTTCCCTGCCAAAATTTTCACGCGGCGTAGGTGATATCCGAGGGCGCGGGAACGCTGAATTTGAATTTGCAAGGTCGTGCGTATGCTGAGGGCCTCTATCCTCACATTTCAGCTTCCTAGATTTCGTAGTTCCCGAGATCATAATTTACCCGCCAAAATTTTCACGGGACGTAGGCAATGCTCGAGAGCGTGGGAACGCTGAATTTGAATGTACAAGGTCGTACATGAGCATGAGGCCTCTACCCTAAAATTTCAGCTTCATGATTCAGGTGACAATAATTTTACACACCAGAACTTTTATGCGGCCATACTTGTTACCCGCGGGCAAAGGAAGGCTGAATTTAAATTTCCTGGGTCGCACTTGGGCATGAGACATGCCCACAAAATTTCAGCCTTCTAGCTTCCATGGTTCCCGTGATAATAATTTCACCCATCAGAACTTTTACGGGACCCTACGTGTTACCCGTGGATACGGGGGGACTAAATTTCAATCTGCGAGGTCATATGTGGGTGAGGAACATTCTCCTAAATTTTCAGCTTCCTAGCTTATGTGGTTCCAGCGTTGAAAGTTTGCAGACGAGTTGCAGCGAACACACACACACACAAACACACACACAGACAACCCCGTAACAATATGCATTTTGTGCAGTTGCTGCATAGTACAAGATGCATAAAAAGGGAGCGCCCGGGAAGTGCGCTGAAGCTGATAAAGTCACAGCTATTCATAGCCCAATGGGACTATAGAATGCACGGTAGTGCACCAGTTATCACTGCACGATTATTTCAGTTGACCAGCTCTCGTCATTTAGGAAGTTTCACAATTAGCATGCCAAACTGACGTCCTTTTAAGGAGCGAAATGACCTCTCCTCTTCCCCACCTGATAATTTTTGCCCCTGGCTGCCGACTCTTCAATATCGATATTTGCTGTAGGGTTTAAAAAAAAAAGGGTTCGGAGAATTCCAGCTGAAAATTTTAAATCCGCAGTAAGCTTTTCACCACTTTGCGCACAAGCTCACAGCACCCTTACATTCAGTTCGCCTAGTATCAGCGAACAAACGTAAAGCACAGGCGTCTCGACACACGGACATGCTTAGTTCATAATGTGACTT